GGTGAGTGGGTGGGTTGTGATGGTGGGTGAGATGGTGAGTGGATGAGTGTGATGGTGGGTGTGATGGTGAGTGAAGGAGTGGGTGAGTTGTGATGGTGGGTGAGATGGTGAGTGGGTGAGTTGTGATGGTGGGTGAGATGGTGAGTGGGTGAGTTGTGATGGTGGGTGAGATGGTGAGTGGGTGAATGTGATGGTGGGTGAGATGGTGAGTGGGTGAGTGTGATGGTGGGTGAGATGGTGAGTGGGTGAGTGTGATGGTGGGTGAGATGGTGAGTTTCAGTTGATTCTCATTGGCATGAGTGACCCAGTTGAGAGGCCTTTTTGTTTTGTTTACAGTCCACTCTCGATTATCCGCGCGCGGTTTGTCCGATTTGTTGATTAACCGCGCACCTGAGATTTCGACGTGTGTCAACTTATTCCCTTAAGCCCAAATGAATCATCTTAAAACAGTTACGCGTTGTTATTCTTGGACATGTTTATTACAAGTCACCGAAAAAACATGTGATCCTGTTAATCCGGCGTCCACGACATGGTGACTGCTACAGCAGTTGCCACACCTTTACAACAGTGGGCGGCGCCGTTTGATTGACGTTGATCGGCGTGGCTCTGCTGCCGTCGTCTGCTCGGTAGGCCCGAGTCTGGCGCGGGAGCCAGGGAAGTGTTACTATCACGGAGCACGCGCATCGGTCGGTCGGTCGGTCGTGTCCGTTTCCCGAATCGAAAGAGTAACAATCGCAATCGTCGGTTGCGCTTCAACTTGAGCGCTTCAACTTGAGCGCTTCAACTTGAGCGCCTCAACTTGAGCGCTTCAATTTGAGCGATTCAACTTGAGCGCCTCAACTTGATCGATTCAACTTGAGCGCTTCAACTTGAGCGCCTCAACTTGATCGAATCAACTTGAGCGCCTCAACTTGAGCGCCTCAAGTTGAGTCGCTCAACTTGAGCGCTTCAACTTGAGCGCCTCAACTTGAGCGACTCAACTTGAGCGCCTCAACTTGAGCGCCTCAACTTGAGCGCCTCAACTTGAGCACTTCAACTTGAGCGCCTCAACTTGAGCGCCTCAACTTGAGCGCTTCAACTTGAGCGCTTCAACTTGAGCGACTCAACTTGAGCGACTCAACTTGAGCGCCTCAACTTGAGCGCCTCAACTTGAGCGCCTCAACTTGAGCGCCTCAACTTGAGCGCCTCAACTTGAGCGCTTCAACTTGAGCGACTCAACTTGATCGATTCAACTTGAGCGCTTCAACTTGAGCGCTTCAACTTGAGCGCCTCAACTTGAGCGATTCAACTTGAGCGCCTCAACTTGAGCGACTCAACTTGAGCGATTCAACTTGAGCGCTTCAACTTGAGCGCCTCAACTTGAGCGCTTCAACTTGAGCGACTCAACTTGAGCGCCTCAACTTGAGCGCTTCAACTTGAGCGCTTCAACTTGAGCGACTCAACTTGAGCGACTCAACTTGAGCGACTCAACTTGAGCGCCTCAACTTGAGCGCCTCAACTTGAGCGCCTCAACTTGAGCGCCTCAACTTGAGCGCTTCAACTTGAGCGCTTCAACTTGAGCGACTCAACTTGATCGATTCAACTTGAGCGCTTCAACTTGAGCGCCTCAACTTGAGCGCCTCAACTTGAGCGACTCAACTTGAGCGCTTCAACTTGAGCGCTTCAACTTGAGCGCCTCAACTTGAGCGATTCAACTTGAGCGACTCAACTTGAGCGCTTCAACTTGAGCGCCTCAACTTGAGCGCCTCAACTTGAGCGACTCAACTTGAGCGCTTCAACTTGAGCGCTTCAACTTGAGCGCCTCAACTTGAGCGATTCAACTTGAGCGACTCAACTTGAGCGCTTCAACTTGAGCGCCTCAACTTGAGCGACTCAACTTGAGCGACTCAACTTGAGCGCCTCAACTTGAGCGCCTCAACTTGAGCGATTCAACTTGAGCGCCTCAACTTGAGCGCCTCAACTTGAGCGATTCAACTTGAGCGCCTCAACTTGAGCGCCTCAACTTGAGCGATTCAACTTGAGCGCCTCAACTTGAGCGCCTCAACTTGAGCGCCTCAACTTGAGCGCCTCAACTTGAGCGATTCAACTTGAGCGCCTCAACTTGAGCGCCTCAACTTGAGCGATTCAACTTGAGCGCCTCAACTTGAGCGCCTCAACTTGAGCGCCTCAACTTGAGCGCCTCAACTTGAGCGCCTCAACTTGAGCGATTCAACTTGAGCGCCTCAACTTGAGCGCCTCAACTTGAGCGATTCAACTTGAGCGCCTCAACTTGAGCGCCTCAACTTGAGCGATTCAACTTGAGCGCCTCAACTTGAGCGCCTCAACTTGAGCGCCTCAACTTGAGCGCCTCAACTTGAGCGCCTCAACTTGAGCGCCTCAACTTGAGCGATTCAACTTGAGCGCCTCAACTTGAGCGCCTCAACTTGAGCGCTTCAACTTGAGCGCCTCAACTTGAGCGCCTCAACTTGAGCGCCTCAACTTGAGCGATTCAACTTGAGCGCCTCAACTTGAGCGCCTCAACTTGAGCGCCTCAACTTGAGCGCCTCAACTTGAGCGCTTCAACTTGAGCGCCTCAACTTGAGCGCTTCAACTTGAGCGCCTCAACTTGAGCGCTTCAACTTGAGCGCCTCAACTTGAGCGACTCAACTTGAGCGACTCAACTTGAGCGACTCAACTTGAGCGCCTCAACTTGAGCGCCTCAACTTGAGCGCTTCGTTTTGAGCGCTTCATCCCATCCTTCATTTCGTGAGTTTCAACTTACGAAGCTGTGCTACGGCAGACAAACGTAAACATCGCGTCGGTGGGTTTTTTGGCGCGGAGGCCCGGCGGAAGCCGGTTGTATTTTTTTGGATCATCTCGCGATTGCGAACTACCCGCGGACGTCCTCCGCGTCATCGGCGCGGACAAATCGAGAGTCCGACTCGATTTGGACCGTGTGACGGCGGCGCACGACGGCCTACCCTTCTGTGCGAGCGACGGCGGTGGCTACGCCGGCCAATTCGCGTTCGCTGCGGTCGACGCGGCATTAATCGGGGGCGGCCGCTGGATTCGAACCGCCGCGACACCCACCGGCACTCCGCCTCTGCCTCTCGAGGAGCTCCTAAGGGGCCGCGTCAAAACGCCTGGAGCCAGCCTTGCCGCGCGTTATCTCCTGGAGGCCCGATGTCTCTCCGTCCGAAGGGATTCGTACTTGCGTCAAATGCACAAACGCGGCATTTAGCAGGGCGGCCACACCATTCGAACCGCGAGCCTCTGCACCGCCCCCTTACGGGCTCCATTCATAGTGGCCGTGCCGGAGACGCCAGCGTGAGATCCTCCGGTGAAGGTTCTCACGCGGCTGTCTCGGCGTTTTCAATGCCCGGGTGGAGAGGTGGGGGGGGGGGGGGTGTACTTAATCGGTATCCCAGACACTGACACCACCACCGCGTCAATCAAGGAGCTTGCAGTGGCCGTGTCAGACACTGAGCCAGCGTTGCTGATACGCTCCACGTGCCATCTCTAGGGGCCCGGTGTCGACTTGGAGGCACAAGGCGGCATTAATCGGGGCGGCCGCCGCACTCGGAACCGCGCGCGGTTCCAGCGAGTCGGGCGGCGAACGCGCTAGCGCCGGGATGCGTCACACCCCCCCCACGGCGTCACCCTCTTGAGGGCTTCATTCACAATGGCCGTGTCGGGGACACCGCCGAGACGCTCGGCTCAGGGTTCCGGCGTGGAGTGGTTGAGGGTGGGCCGGTGGGGGGTGGGGGGGGTGGTACATCACGGGCACCCCAGACACTGACACCAACACCGTGTCAATCGAGGAGCTCATAGGAGCCGTGTCAGACGCTGCTGAGACGTCTCGCGCGTAATCGCTTAGAGCCCCCCCCCACACCCCCCCCCCCCCCATCTCCGATGTCTCATACTGCCAGCGCACAACGAGGTATTAAGGAGGGCGGCCACTGCAGCCTACCCCGAGCCTCTGCGTCGCCTCCTCAAGGGTTCCATTCATAGCGGCCGTGCCGGAGACGCCGCTGGGATCCTCGGGTCAGGGTTGTGACGTGCGTGCTGTCTCGCCGTTTTCACGGTCCTGGCGGAGGTAGGTTATAATCGTGGCCCCCAGACACGGACACGGCCGCCGCGCCAGTCTTAGGGGTTCAGGGCGACCGTGCCGGACGCCGAGAGCCAGCGTTTGCCGAAGCTTGCCGCCCGTAATCTCTAGAGGCCGGATGTCTCTCATTCTCTCTCTCTCTCTGAGCTCCCCGGGGTTGAGGGTCACGGCTGCACGCGAATGCCTCGTCGCCCCCTCCCCCGAGCGTTAGGCGTTTGCCGCGTCTGTTGTTGTTGTTGTCCTCGTTGATGCCGTAGCGATCGTTTACACGGGAAAAGCCCTGCCGAGTCCCGGAACTTTTGTTCAGGAGGGGCCTTGCCGAGGTTTTGCCAAGACCCCTCCCGGTTTGGCGAGTAGGGGCGGGGTGCGACGATTGCTGCTGCCGGCAGTTTTCGGCACAGCACGGGAGACATTGATGAACTCCTTGCTACTCACTGTGACAGGCTCCTCCTGCGTTACGCACCTTCGATAGAGCCGCGTGTTGGTGGACGGAAGGGTCGCATGCGGCTCGGGAGAGACGCCGTTTGGCCGCCGCTGATATATATTTATTTATCTTTGTAAACGCTACCCTGTAATGGAAGCCTCTGTCCGTACTAACGCAGCCGTGTGCGTGCGTGTGTGGGTAGCGGTGGCGTGGCGGTGAACCCGGCCACCCGGGTTCGATTCCCGCTCGCGGCCACCGCCCAGTGACGATTATCTGAACCGTTCCTGGACCCCCCCCCCCCCCCACTCGGTCGACTCAGCCTCAAACGAGCACCCGGCGCGGCGTGTAAACATCGCCACTGGAGAGACAAAGGTGGCCGGGGCGAGGTTTTGGCCACCCACCCACTCGTGCGCCGTGCCGGCCTTCAAGGGCGCTTGCCCCCAACAGCCTGTTGAGCCTCTACGGGGGATCTTTGTCTTTGTTCCGCAGCCTCCCATCGAGCCGCGGATCGTGCATGAAGGAGACACCTCCAACTTTGAGAGCTACCCTCCCGAAGACCCCAAAAAGATTCCTCCCTCCCTGTGCACCAAGGACCTGGAGCCCTTCAAGAACTTCTGAGCCCCCCCCCCCTCCACTGTCGTTGGGACGGGGGGGGGGGCTCGCGCTTCGAGGTACCGTCACTCGCTCACAACTCCACGACACGACGACTCGATGATTTGATGATTTTATAACCCAAAGACTCGATGATTCCAAGATTTTATGGCTTGACGACTCGATGATTTGAAGATTTTACGATCCGACGACTCGATCATTCCAAGATTTAATGACCCGATGACTCGACCTGATAACCCGACGAATCGATGATTTCACGACCTCCTGCATACCAGGCGAGGTAGTTAACATCTCCAAGCCACCATGGTGATGATGATGGTGAGAGAGAGAGAGAGACCATTCTCACTCCAGATATACAACAGCAGGCGCCAGGGTCGGGATCGAACCCACGACCTCCTGCACACCAGGCGAGGTAGTCAACATCTCGGCTGCTAAAATCCGGCTGCGTGGGAATCGTTTCCCCACTTACAGCGGCGGATTGAGCCGAAACGAAAGGAGCCCACGGCGGCACCTCGAGACGCGTGTGCACGCCACGCGACGATTCAATCGTTCCTGGCCGTGTCGGGCGGCGGAGGGTCTGACCGTCACGCAAGCATCTCGCCCGGCCGCGCCCGGCCGCCACCGTGCGCCTGGTGGCGGAGTCGAACCCGTGGCCTCGGCGCCGCCGGGGCCGACGAAGCCGTTTGGCCACGTCGACGGGCCCCGAGCGTTCGTGTCGCTCGCACGCCCTCGCTTCTCGCCTCCTCCTCCTCCTCCTCCTCCTCGCGCGGCGTTGTCAGTGCCCGCAACAGCGTCGGTTGTTGTGGGGGTTGGAGTGGCGGGTGCTGTGACCAACGTTTGCACAGCTGTCAGGCCCAAAGTGATGCTTAGGAATTCTTTTTGCGGGGGGAAAGCGCCCGCCGGTTTGTTTTTTTGTATTCACTCGGAGGGTCTTCTTCCGGTGGAAACTTAACGATCTCCCGTTGCAGCCGTTAACAGGCTCGTTGGGGCAAGCGCTGCCAGCGAGTAGCAAGCTGTGAGGGCCGGCTCTGTGGCACACGAGGGGGTGGGTGTGGCCAACGCCACGGGCCCGGCCGCCTTTGTCTCCCGAGCGGCGACGTTTACTACACACCGCAACCAGGTACTCATTTGAGGCTCGGTGGACCTCGGGGAAAGGCCCATGACCCGTTCAGATATAGTCGTGCCTGGTGCCGTGCGTGAACGTCGGCAATGGGGGAGACGGAAACAGAACAAAGGTAGAGATCATCCGTTTAGTTTGTAGGGGCACGTGCTGTTGGGAAGCGTTTATTCAAGCCGGAAATTAAATCTGCGATGCTAATGGTAAATTTATTTAACTGACTGCTGCGGTCTTGACCCGGTGACCTGGGTACAATGCCCAGTTTTGTTTTTGTTTTCTGACAACGGCTGCATATATTTGGAGCCTGCGTGTCTCTCTCTCTCTCTCTCTCCCCGTGGTCGCGTGGATTTTTCTCCGGGTCCTCCGGTTTTTCCCCTCCACTTTGAGAGTCCACGTGGCGCGTTCAGGAGCATTTCGAGCGACGTGCAAGCCGCCAGCCTCGTCGAGCTATCGATTGCGATGGTCCGGTCGCTTCCCGTCGAAAGAGCGGCGTAGCTCAGTGTGGGGGGGGGGGGGGTTAGGGGGGGTGGGGGGGGGGGGGTGGGGGGGCCTTTTACCTGGGAAAATAAAAACAATTGCTTTAGTTTAGTTGGGAGTTGAAGTGATGTTCCACAATGGCGCCCGAGCATCGCCACGGGTACGAACGCTCCGCCATGGGAATTGCGAGCCCTGCTGAGCCATCCGGCTCCCTCTGGAATCGCGTCATCGGCGTCAACGGACAAATTCGTCCCCACGTAGTGCCCGCCCGCCCGCCCGCTTCATTTCAGTTTCCGAGCCGTTCCACGGGAAATCAAGAATCGGACCATTTATTTCTGTAGCAAAATAACAAATGTTTGACGTGCAACGGTAACGAAATGATCAAAACTAGGATATTTTCGTGGGGCATTTTATTTCGTTAATTGCGAATTTGAGGACATTGGGCCGGCGGGCACTCCCCGCCGCCGCGGGAATGGAATCTTCAGAATCAGTCTTTATAACTGGAGAAATCCGATGAGCTGTAAAGCTCTTTCCCCCCCCCCCCTCCCCCAAACTGTCCGGTTGAACGGCGACGGTGGCGACCTCCTTGCTCACGGAAGGTCCCTCCTCTCTTTCTCTCTCTCTCTTTCTCTCTTCGCCAGGTCCCAGGGAGGGGGACGACAGTTCCGCACTGCCAAGCCGGGGCGTCTCTGCTGCTGCTGGTGGCGGTGCTGGTGGTGGTGCTGGTGGTGGTGGTGCTACTGGTGCTGGTGCTACTGGTGCTGGTGGAAACTAATGGGCGGGTCAACAGGTCGGGAAGAGCAAAAGCGGCTGTCCCTCCGAGCTCCTCACGCTCCGTCCGCACCTCCAACGCCTCCTCGCCGTCTCTCTTCCGGAGACACAAGGCCCCCCCCCCCTCTACACCCCCCGCCACCCCCCCCCCCCGCTACCTTCCCCCCCGCTACCCCCCCCCCCCGATACCACCCCTCCCCCATCCTGGGAACTTCTGTCGGCCGAGGCACGGCGGCCACGGCCAGAACCGAGTGAGCGCAGTGGCGACGACGGTGTCGCCGCGCGGCCCCCCCACGTGGCACGGGGCGGCCTCTCACCTCAAACACCCCGCCAGCCCCCCACTCAGCCCCCCAACTCACCCTCCCCAACAACTCACCCCTCCCCCCCCACTCCCCAACAACTCACCCCCAACCGCACTCTCCTTCCCCTACGCCGCTTAGGTGGAATAAGCCTAAAGGAAAAAAATGAAAATCGTGGGGGGGGGGGGGGGGTGCGTACTGGGGGGGGGGGGTGGTAGGGCGAGAGTGGCATGGGGCGGTGGGGGTACGGGGGGTGCAGGGGGTGGGGGTCGTAAGCGCGTACCCTGCTGACGCCCGCCGGTCGCTGACGCCGTCCCTCACTTTGCTTGGATGATGAAGGTGAAGAGGGCGTGGTTTTAGAGCGGGTGGGTGAGTGTGTGAGTGGGTGGATGGGTGAGTGTCTGGATGGGTGAGTGGGTTGATGGGTGAGTGGGTGGATGGGTGAGTGGGTGGGTGGGCGTGTGAGTGGGTGGGTGAGTGGGTGGATGGGTGAGTGGGTGGGTGGGTGGGTGAGTGGGTGGGTGTGTGGATGGGTGAGTGGGTGGGTGGGTGAGTGGGTGGGTGTGTGGATGGGTGAGTGGGTGGGCGTGTGAGTGGGCATGTGAGTGGGTGGATGGGTGAGTGGGTGGGTGAGTGTGTGGATGGGTGAGTGGATGAGCGTGTGAGTGGGTAGGTGAGTGGGTGGGTGAGTGTGTGGATGGGTGAGTGGGTGGGTGGGTGAGTGGGTGGGTGGGTGAGTGGGTGTGTGGATGGGTGAGTGGGTGGGTGGGTGAGTGGGTGGGTGGGTGAGTGGGTGGGTGAGTGGGTGGGTGAGTGGGTGGGTGAGTGGGTGGGTGAGTGGGTGGGTGAGTGGGTGGGTGAGTGGGTGGGTGAGTGTGCGAGATTGCGTCCAAAGTTCCCGGGTGGCTTTCTGTCCGCTCCGTCGGTCCGCTCGGCGTTTTCGCGCCTTCTAGTTCCGTGCCGGGCCGGGAGGGGAGGGTGGGTGGGGGGGGGTAGCGAGTCGCCAGACTTTCCTGGACGTTCCAGAAGTGGGTGGTCAAAAAAGTTTTCGAAATCTCTTTTCAAGTCTTCCCGGAGCATTACAAGTCCAGTTGCTTATTAATGATAATGATGATTTCAACCACCAACGGATAGCTATCGTAACGGAACGTCTCTCGGGGGCCCGACACGCTATCCCCCCTCTCCTTGCCACGGTACGTTCCAGCACCAACGCCGCCCTTCCAACACCGCCACCACCGCCACCACCGCCACCACCGCCACCACCACCACCGCCATCGCCACCACCGCCGCATCTCGTCGCTACCAATGCTTTCTCGACCTCCGCCACATTCCGAAGATCTTCCCCCGACCGCAGCGTCCCACCCACTTCCTCCTCGGCTCGCACAGAGAACCACGGATTTTCGAACCTAGGCCAATTGCACACTCATAATTGGAAACCCCCCCCCTCCCCCCCCGCTCTACTCAGCAGGACCCCCATGCCTGCGAAGACCCATGGACCCCACAACGGGAGAGACCCGCGTTTTTTTTTTTATTTGGCCCTAACATCCTCCCCCCCCCCCCCCACACCGTCTGATTTCGTCCTTCCGTCGGCAGACTTGATGGAGGTCACTCCCAACGCTGTCTCGAACCCATCGGCCCTCCTGCCCCCACGCTGCCCAGTTGCACCTCGCGGCAGCGGGCAGCGGCAGCAGCGGCAAGCAGCAGTAGCAGCACCAGGCAGCAGCACCAGGCAGTAGCAGCACCAGGCATCAGTAGCAGCACCAGGCATCAGTAGCAGCACCAGGCAGCATCAGCAGCAGTAGCAGCACCAGGCAGCAGTAGCAGCACCAGACAGCAGCAGGCAGTAGCAGCACCAGGCAGCAGCACCAGGCAGTAGCAGCACCAGGCATCAGTAGCAGCACCAGGCATCAGTAGCAGCACCAGGCAGCATCAGCAGGCAGTAGCAGCACCAGGCATCAGTAGCAGCACCAGACAGCAGCAGGCAGCAGCAGTAGCAGCACCAGGCAGCAGCAGGCAGCAGCAGGCAGCTGCAGTAGCAGCACCAGGCAGCAGTAACAGCACCAGACAGCAGCAGCACCAGGCAGCAGAAGTAGCATCAGCAGGCAGCTGCAGTAGCAGCACCAGGCAGCAGTATCAGCAGGCAGCTGCAGTAGCAGCAGCCCCTCCTACTTCTGCGAAAACTTGGCAGGACCCTCTTGGCAAACGAGTCTCGAGACTCGGGAGAGGCTTTCCTGAGTAACCGAGCGTAAATACATTTTTTAATAGTATCTGTATATATGTGTCACATGACCCGCAAGCTTTTTTTTTTTAGCGCAGGAGCCAGTATCTGCAAAGTGTGAGGGTCGCCGCGTCCCGCTGATCTGTCGATGCAGGAGAGATTTTTTTTATTTAATTTTAGAAAATAATGATGAATATTGCTGACGCTCGTTCGATTCATTTCTTTTATCCCTGCCCCCTTGTCCTGAAAGTATAAAAAAAAAATTGTCCGCGGTAAAAAAATGTTCACGTTGCGTTCAGAAACACGGAACACAGTGGCAAGGAGGCGGGGGGGGGGGGCGCTGATGTTCCGTGTCGGAGAGGAGTCACCACGCCGCTGACATTCTGAGACCTAAGTTCTATTCACGGCCCGCTCCGTACCCCACCGTACTGTTCACGAGTATTGAACTTTGGTTCTCCGTTGTAAAGTTCTACCGGCACGCACGCACGCACGCCTTCGACAGCCGTGACCGGACCTGACCAAAAGCAATTCAAAGATATCTGTCTTTGGAATATGAACGATCAATTATTAACCACTACTACCACTGCTGTGCCACCACTACGGTATTGGGCCCACGTCCTCCTGCGGCGACGCGACGACGTGGCGGTGTTATCGTTGCCGCACTTTTGTGGCCGCGAACGCGCACGAGTCGCAGGCCGCCCGCCGCCCGCTCGGCTCTCTTTGCCGCCTTGCCGCCGTCACGAGCAGCCGCTGCCTCCCGCGTCGGGAAGGCGCCACCCATGAGCGCGAGCGTTTGCGAGCCCCCCACCCCCACTCCCCCCCCCCCCCCACCCCGAGCGGCCGGCGACGAGTTCCAAAAAAGTTTCGCGCCCCCCCCCTCCTCCCTGGTGTGACGCGGCGGTTGCGTTCACGTCTCTCTCTCTTTTTTTTGGTTTCCTCGGCGCGAGACGCGGCTCTTCCGATTGTTCTGGCGCACCGCGTTACGGCGTGGATGCGCAACGCGATTTCCGGGGCAATCGAGGGCGAGCTGCTTGCTTGCGCTGCGCGGCCCGAGCGGTGACAGTGACGCGGTGACGCGGAGATTTGTACGGCGTCTCACCGCGCAGGGTCATGCGTGGCCGTCGCGGTGGTCGTGGTGGTAGCACGTCGTGTCTCGCCAAGCTTCATCATCAGCCACGTTGTTTGCGGGGGGGGGGGGGGATATCGTCCTTAGCTTGGACGCGGCACTCTTACAGGAGCGCATCTACTGCCACCGTCACCACCACCGCCACTACCACCATCGCCACCACTACCACCACCGCCACCGCCGCCGCCACCGCCACCACCACCACTACCACCACCGTCACCGCCGCCACCGCCGCCGCCACCACCACCACTATCGCCACCACCGCAACTACCACCACCATCACCACCACTGCCGCCACCACCACCACTGCCGCTACTACCACCAGGAGCGGCCCCGTTAAGCTCATGGCTTCACAAGCAGACGCCCCGTTGAGGCGGACCTTCCAAATGTCTTCCCGGGGTGGGGGGGTGGGGGGCAGCGCTCCCTCCCCCCCCCCCCAAACGGCGGCGTTTTTCGCCCTTGCCGTCAAAAACCGCGGCTCGGTGTCACGGGGGGAGCGGGCGCAGCTCGCGACGGTCGCCCGCTGCTCGCTTTGACGCGACCGGGAGGCGATTCACAATTGTTGTCATTATTTATTATTTTTATTCTTAACATTTTTACTTCCCCACTGGCGGGGAGCGAACGATCGACACCGAATGTCCCCTCCCCATCCTCCACCACCCCCCCCCCTTCCCCCGGGGCTAAGCGGCGGCGCTCGACTTGACGGAGTCTCGAACGTGCGACTCGAACTTTGCCGAGCGGCGAATCACAAAAACAATGCAAACCCGAGAAGCAAAATTTTTTGTTGTTATTTTTTTTCCCTTCCCCCCCCCCCCCCCCTGCGTCGTCGGCATGGGGGGAACGCACCCGGGGGGAGGCGACGTTTGATTGGATTTCGTGGAGTTATTGTTCAGGGGCCATCTGTTGAGTAGGTACGCAGAAATACGTCAAAGCTGGACCCCTCCCCCCGATCCCTGTACGCAACGCGTACTTTCTACACCACCCCCCCTCCCCCCACCTGCGTACGTACGCCTGACGCACCCACCCCACCCCCCCCCCCTTAGAATCCTACAGAGCGGCCGATATTTAATCCACGCGGAAACGATCAAGGATTCATAATATTAACGTGTTTAAGCAAACAAGATAGTCCACCGCCGGACTCTCTGACTCATTTGAAGGCCAATGTAGACAAATTATTGTCGAGGCTTCACCCCCCCCACCCGTTTCCTATGCGTACATTGTCAGTAGATCCCCCCCCCCCCATACGCAAGCGTACGCATTTGGGTTAACCCCCCTCTCCCCCTCCATGCGTACGTACTAAATGGATGGCCCCTAACCGGTTGTTTCCCACCCAATTACAACAAAGCACACTGAAGTAACGGGAGAGAGGGGTGGGGTGATGCGGGCGAATACCGTGCCAGGAACGGTACCCGTTGAGAACGGACGCGGGATATCCGCGCGGAACGGAACGCGATCGCGATCGTGCCGCGGTTGTGCCGTCCTGCCGTGTTGCCGTC